TTGCACAAAAAATATCCAAACAAGAATACACAAACACAGAGACTCAAAATCCTGGAGCAGTTTCCAAGCCAGACCGAGGCTCTACTGAGGCCTAGTCCACACGTAGCCGGGTTTATTTAAAAACGAATATCCGCCCCTCCAAAAACTTGCATCCACACTACCTCGTTTTAATAAAAAACTCTGTCCACACGTACCCGGATAAATACGTTGTTAAGGCCATGCCAGACCTGTAGGCGGCAGTACTTCCCCCGTTCTTAACCTCGTCCTTCGTCTGTGGTCTTCCGCAAGGAGCAGTAATTCCGCTGGCAAAAACAAACAACCAAAAACCGCTTGGGCAATTGATAAAGCGAGCGCAGCTCTGAGGGCATTCATGCTGTCGGCTAGTGTAAACGATGGTGTAAACACAGGTCGCACACGTGATGTCAGCATTTTTTTGTCGCGGAAAGTGACGTTGCGGACCTTAAAACTCCAGTTTTGTCCGTCCACATGCAGACACCCAAAACGGAGAAAACGCAGATCTTCGCTTTGGCCGGAGTTTTTAAAAAGATCCGTTTTCGTGTGAAAAAACTCCGTTTTCGTGTGGATGACAGGCCAAAACGTAGAAAAATAGCTATGTTTTGGCAGATCCCCGGCTACGTGTGGACAGGGCCTGAGGCCTTTCTACGGAGCTAGTTCTGTGGTCACGTGGGTCTGATGCTCATTAATTATACAGAATTTTAGGCTTTTAATACACTTAAACAGAAGAGTGAGAGAAAAAATTCACCCCTCTCAGAGTTGTCATGAGTGTAAACTAGATCATTTAAACCAAAAACATGTTTTGGTACCAGGCTGTAAACATGTTTATTTCTGCTGTGAAATTGGTATTTTTAACATGGGAGTCAATGAGGATTTGCTCGCTTCTGACAACAGCCCCCAGCGGATGAGGGTGGAACTGCAATTTATTTCACTTCCGGGTTTGATTCAATTTTGGAGCCGCATTGTGGGGGCTTGCTTCAGGTGCATCTCTAATCTGCAGGTAAAGTCGGCTACAAAGTTGTAGTCAAAGTAGCTGAGGGGGGTCATAAATGTCGCCAGATTTGTCGCTAGGCGCTTTTTGAAAAAAAGTCTTTAAGGGGGTCTGAAAAGTCGTTAGAAATGGTGACAAAGTCGCTAAGTTGGCAACACTTGTGGTGCATTCAAGGAACATTGGAACTCTGATGAGTTCAGTAACGTAGCACATTTAAAACTTTTATAAAAAACAGAATAATACTGTAAGACAAACACCAGTTTGCATGTTACGTTTCTGAATACTAAATACTGCTTCTTTTTACACAAAAGTACTAAAAACAACAAAACCAAACAAAAATAAAAAATCTATATATTGTCTGTTAGGTCACTATATAGCACTGAATCACAACAGAAGAATACATCTCAAGGCACTTGAAAACTACAAGAGAAAATTCATTTTAATTCAATCATACATACATTCCTATCAATTTAATATTTTTGTGTTTAAGAGTTCCCTTCTCTTCAGACAAAATTTTTTTGTGCCATCTTTCCTTGATGTTTTAAAGGCTGCTGTTTTGTATTCTATGGGTTTTTTATTTTAATAAAATATTAAAAAATAAATTCAATAATTTTTTTAATAAAATCATGCAGGTTTAATTTGATTTACTCTCCAAGACCGGTGACGTCATGACGCAAACCAGATGACGTCATTGCGTCGTATGCAAATTAGCACGTGACGTCGTCTGGTGACATCTAGCGACTTTTTGGGGGAACTTCAGCTACTTTCAGTCAAAAACAGTTGGCAACACTGATGGTTGGTTGGCGCGATAACGGTTTTGATTTTTTGCACTCATTTGCCCCACCTTAAGAGGATCTCATAATTTTTTTTATCAGCCAACAGCAGAGAAAGTGTTGCTTCTCATATAACATTAAAATTGTCACACATAGCCTTGTGCATATTTTAAAAAGCCAGTCATTCATCAAATCTTGTCATTCTTGTTTGTGTGAAAAAGAAATGCACGGGCATTGATCCAACAAACATTTCTTACTTGTAAGAACTTTATAGTGAACAAAAGCCTGCATGGTTCTTTCTTTAGTTTTAGTGAATAAAATCCATCTTTAGAGAACTTTGGGTACTCTGAAGGGTTCATTTGTTTCTTTCTGTGCTCAGTTTCTTTTGCTCGAGGCTTGTTACATCCCCCAATGACACACACACCGTCTTCGTTTCCATCGAACAATGTTCCTTTCTTGCTGTACTTTTTTTTTTTTTATCAGAGATCCTTTTTTCCCTTTTACTTCTTTTTTCTTGCAACAGTAATCTTGGTTCCTTTCAAACGGATACAAAAACAAATACTTTTTTTCAGATTTACAGAGGAGCTAAGTCAGGGAGAATAAGGTGTTAAGCAAACAAAGCTGAGTGTTCGAACAAATAAAAAACCTTTGTGACGAGAAAATCCACATACAGTATAGATGTGAGAAATGCCAGGTAAACAAGAATAGTTCTTACCTTGGTCTTGGCTTTACATTTTCCCACTTCTATATTCTGTTTTCATTGTGTGGTTTCTGTCTCCGTGACTCTGGTTTCTCGGATCCGTCACAAAAACACAACAAACATAAAGGCAAGAAATGCTTCAACACTCGGGTTTAAAACTCTGGAAATATCTAATATTTGTCTAAGATCAGATCAGTCAACTACATATTTTCTCTGTAGTTTATCCGTTCTTCCTCATCGTGAGTATACTTTTACTAATATTTAATAATTTACTCAAAAAGAAAAACCCAACGCATTTCAGAACATGTTTACAACAAGGAGGATTACTTTATGCAAAAACAGAAAAAATCAAACAAACAAATCATAAAAACAAAGCTTCTGAAGAATGACTAGGGTTGGGTACCTTTGACATTTGAATCGATTTGGTACTAATTCCCGGTACCTAGGAATCGATACCGGTACTTAACGGTAGCAATTTTCGATACTTATGAGTGTTTAATATTTTAATTCTCTTTTATAATTAAATATATTTTTTTCTCAATATATAACCATATTTCATAAATATCACAATAAATAACATACAACTGTTTGTATTTTAACATCCTCCTTGTAGTTTTATAAGCTGATAATTAAACTGGAGCAAACATCTTTACTGTGAACTAAATTTACTGTGTGTGTGTGTGTGGGGGGGGGGGGGGGGGCATGCAGGAGTGTCCATCGCAGGGCAACAGAGACACAACACTCACACCTAAAGACAATTTAGAGAGACCAATTAACCTGAGTCATGTGTTTGGAGTCTGGGAGGAAGCCGGAGTGCCCGGAGAGAACCCACGCATGCACAGGGAGAACATGCAGACTCCTTGCAGAAAGAGCCCAGGCCGGGATGTGAACTCAAGACCTCCTTGCTGCAAGGCAACAGCACTAACCTCTGCACCACTGTGCAGCATGGGTAAAGTTCAATGAAATTAAAATTGTTGACAAGCAGCAGAACACTATTCCTCAGAAAGAGATGGCATCCTAAAACTGTGAGTTTATCTGCACAAACAAAGGCAACTGTCATGGAATTGTCTATTCGCCATATCTAAGGAAAGTGCCGCTTGGTGAACCAGAACACTGTATCAGAGGAATATGCATTTCTTCAGAAATTGAACCCTGCATCGGACACAAGTACGATTAGTCAGAAACAGAAGCTTGCAGGCTTCAGAGGAAGGTGCAGTTGGCCAGAAGTGGAACACTGTATCAGATAAAAATGCAGCTGGCCATGCATCAAAGGAAGGTACGATTTGACCTGCAGGATATGGTCAAACACATTCTGGTCTTTTGTGTTCTTATTTTGATAATCTCAATCCACTGTGTCTGTTCTTCAGAAACGTATTAAATTGTGGATTAGCTAACCAAAAAGTAGCCCAGATGGGAGGGGAAGGAAGGGTGGTACACAAAGAAAGATCGAACAAATTGTTATTTCTTTTTCAATGTCCACCTTCTCTGTACTTCGTTTTTATCTGAGGTCAGCAGCGTCATTTTCATGCCCAACCAAGCCCTCGTGTCCGTTTTGTGCCATCTGCGGATTAAGGTCATTCATTAAGCCCCTAGTGGCACGACAAAACACTCAAAAACACACAACTACTAACATCTCTGTCTCTGTTGACTGCTGTTTGTTCAGTATCCCCCTCTGGCTAGAGCCATTTTAATCCTCTGAACATCACAACTGATGAAGTGCACAATGTTACCAAAAATGAAGTTAAAACTGAACTGCAATGTGACGTTTGAAATAACGTTGAGCAGAACTTTTTGCTAAATGTGTTTTGGGAAATGTTGTAATACTTTTCATCTTGGTTTTTAGTGCAATCTAAAAAGTAGCAACACAGCTTAATGACAGATTAAACTCGCCTGATTTGGCAATTATTTGAAATGTGGAAGGAAAGCTCTGACATTTGAAAAGAAGCTTTTAAAACGACAACAAAAAAGTGGGTGAAAGAAGGATGGATTGAGGGAAGAAAGGAAGGGGAGGAGCGTCGAGGGACGGCGCTGACGTGCTGTCACCTGTTTGCCGGTTCGTTTGCTGCGAGCTGTGCTGCGTGCACTCATAGGGGAAGCTTTTGAAGCCTGATTTGTCGCTTGGCTTGGTTTGCACATGGCTGGATGCTCAGTGGAGTGGCTGTCCCAGTCACATCCTCTCGTAGAGTAGGAGCTACTGTCTGAGGCTCAGACGGGGCAGGATGAGGCGGCAGTACAGGGACGAGGGGTATTACCCTCATTCAGAGGTATGTAGACCACTATTGCAACTCAAAAACTTAGAAGAAATGGGGCTTGCTTGTGCAAAAATATAAATTGATACAAATATTTATTGTACGCTGTTTGATGGATCTGCAATGACACGTTCTTACGCTTTCGTGAAAATGCTTTTTTTTCAGGCAGGCTGTTCTCCTATGTGTCTGATGCTCTTTTTTTCTTGTTTTTTTAATGCAACAGTATATTTATGTACGTTTTTCCAACTTTTTGCTTTTTTCGTTTGCAACAGCAAGCCCTCGACTCCAACCTGAGCAATTTAATCAAGAGGAACAATGAGCTGGAGTCTCTAATGGAGAAACTGATCCAGACTTGCCAACACGTAGAGGTGAGTCCCAACGGCCTTGTGGGGTCACACTGACTCAAGATGGTGAATGTTATTTAATAAACTGCACTTTTCCTTTGGTTAATGTGAGATTTGTTCCGAAAACCATCCAAACTCTAATCAAACTTGCACTAATTTTCTATATATGTGATTAAAGCTTGAGCTACAGCCTCCACTCATCCAGTACAAATTCTTTAAAACAACAAACAGCCCTAAATTTCTCACTATTAAACATTGTTTGCCTGAATTTATCATTTTGTGAGGATGTTTGCATGCGTTTAGTTCTGCCGAAGGCAGTTCTGGGCCAAGCCTGCCTGTTCGCGTTTGTGTTGCACCACTAAGATGCTTTAAATAAAGCAGTGCCACAGGGTTTAGAAATTACTTAGAGCAGCCTCTCTCGCTGCCTGCCAAGACCTTTCCAAAGTGCAAAGAAAAAGAGGATTGTGATGTGTTGAGAAGATTTAATTCCTTTCATTTCACTTGAAGTGTTTTGTACACGTTTTACATGAGATGAAGGGAAATTTGAACCCCAACCAAATACGAGCCTTTTTTTCTCTCACTGACATTGAACAAATCATATAAAAAATTAAGTTTGTTGCTTCTATAATAGAAATCTCCTTTGCAAGCTTGAGCCCACACAGCAAATATGTTCTAAACAATTATTGTGTGATTGCTTGCTGGAGGAAAAAAAAGTGATAAACCATCTTTGTAGACCAATCGTAATTGGAAATCTTAAACACAAGTTCTCAAGGACCACTATCCTGTTTTGGATGTTTCTCTGTTCCAACACACCTGTTGTGAATCAATGGAGATTATCCTGAACTTAGACATACTGAAGAGGTCATTCAACCATCAATTCAGGTGTGCTGGAGCAGAGAAACATCTAAAACATGTAAAACAGTGGCCCTAAAAGATTGGCGTTTGCCCCTTTGGTGGCATAGGTTTCCTTTGCTCCCTTATGATAGTACATAGCAATGGTAAATGGCCCGTATTTGTTTAGCGCCTTCTTAGGGTTCTACAACCCCCCAAGGTGCTTCACAACACAAACAGTCATTCACACCCTGGTGGGGATGAGCTACGATGTAGCCACAGCTGCCCTGGGGTGCACTGACAGAAGCAAGGCTGCCGAGCACTGGCGCCACCGGTCCCTCTGACCACCACCAGCAGGCAAGGTGGGTTACGTGTCTTGCCCAAGGACTTAACAGCAGCATTCTCTGGTCGGAGCCAGGATCAAACCTGCAAACACTGCTGTCCCAGTGATGACACTGATAACTAAAACAGCAGTAAGCAATGTTGTCCAAATCACTCCGTCACGGTTTTGTCGGCCCTGCTTCCCCGTGGTTTGTTTCATGCCTAGCCAGCCTTAACTCATTCACTGCCAGCCGTTTCTTGATCGCTAACGGCCTTCGCTGCCAGCGTTTCTCACCGTTTTTACTGTTTTTTAAGAGTCACAGAACGTTGCGCGCTAGGATGATGTCGACGCCAAAACAAAGCAGAGACTCACCTCTTACATCAGGAAGAATCCGCGTGTTTTCAGCATTATCCGTTCTTTCCTAATCCGTTGTCGAATTGTGAGCGGCAGACGCTTTTCCGGTTCGCGCCTCACTTTTTTTACAGGAACGGCCCAAAACGATCTCCTAACACATTGATGTTCTGCTTCCTGATCACGTGACGTGTGACGTATGTGGATGAAGATCGGCTTCAGGGCTGAGATGTTTGTTCTCTCAGCGCGGGGGCTCGTTCCGATTTTCAAACAGTAAAAAAAATGCAAATAACGACTTTAGTCGTCAATGGCAGTGAATGAGTTAAACACCCACCTATAGTTTGATTGGCTGGCTGATGTCATGTCATTCTCATGTTGACAACCTGGATGCAGTGAGTTTAACATCTTCTCTGACCGCCGTCCAGAGTGGTCGGAGCTGCAGTGGCAGCGTGAGGACATCTCTGTCTCTGTTGAGCGCTCTTGGATGGGAGAGGAGCCCATGGCAACAGTGCTGCTCAATAGGAAGTAGGCAGTGGTGTGCTTCATGTCAGATTTTACAAAAGCAACACTGCTCATGTCCACTTTTGTTGACTAACATGTGGCGCTTAAGAGTGATACTTCGGACTTCTCTGCACCACTTTAACAGAGGCTGCCTATAATATGCCCACATCTGTGTTTCTAAGAAGGCTGTGAAAACACAACCTGGCTGTGCAGTGGGTGGGCTTCCCCCACCTGGCCCAAGCAGAGCTGACCAACGTATAAATTATCCCACTGGACTCCTTACCCCCTGAAGATTCTTCATCAAAGACTCTAGGACTGAAAATGAGGCTAAAACCCAAAGAAAAACTAGCTGTTATATCAGGTGATTGAACGCTGCCTGTACATGTGGATGATAAAAGCATAGCAGCTCTCTGACCTGAATTT